GTATCATTTAAAGCGAATGTTTTATGTACGACTGTTGTATTTAATATCGTATGATTAAGACAAAGAACAAAACTTGTAATGGATTGAATTCTTTATATAAATTACGCTAAAAACGAAACGATTGATAAAATTCAAAGGGATTTGTCTCTTAGAGATCGCATCGCCCAAAAGGTGAAGTTCATGTCAGCTAAATTATTATTTTTCTGGGCGTATTTCCTCAGATAGGTTGGTAAAAACATCACCATATATACAGTTTAGGACTTATAAAAACCGTTTATTGAATTCAACTATGTATAGTTAGTTGTATAGGATTACAAAGACTGTTCATCTGTTTATTGCCTTCGCGTATGCGTATATGAACGCCTTAAGACCACTTTCCATCCGTTTAGCGAATATTGACAAAGGATAGGTGCCGATCGCCGTGACACGTGTTCTTCTGACACGAACTATATGATCAAGACACGACAAGGTGTCCGTTTTCAAATAACCAAGTTTTTTGTTTAAGGGGTGAAAATCATCGAATGGCTGCTCCCGCCTGGGTGAGGCGGGGGGGAGTGTCAGACTCTTACTGACTAAAAACCACCCCGTTCCTACTCCTGCACTTCGAGCCGGAGCCCCGGCAACCCGTTAGGTTCTCCGCGACTCCAAATATCTAAGGTTGTGTGCCTTTTTGAGAGGGGGCGAATCATCCAATGCGTTCTCCTCTCCTGAATTGGGTGAGGATAGAGAAGGTGTCAGACTCTTACTGACTAAAATTTCATCTCGTAAGGTTTAAATTAAATCATAGTTGAGAACTTCACAAATCCATCATCACATTATTCAATGATTTTAGAGACATAGAGAAAACGTGAAAACCGGTCCTTAGATTTTGTCGGTAAGGCGTCCTAAGCCTTAGTTATGAGAGCTAGCGTTGCGAAGCTGCGAAATTCAAATTTAAACGTTATATAAGCCTAGCTAAGTTATTTGGGCCCTATTTAGGTGTTTACTTAAGTTTATTAAAATGATAATAGCAGTGTTTAAAAGTAGTGGTGCTGGTATTTCTGAATTATATTAGTTTCTTTTTTCTTCCCTTGTTTTAACCTTTTGACCTGGAGTATTAGTAGTATCTTTAGCTTTTGAGATTGTGTTGATTGTATTTTCAATGGGAATTATATGTACAATCAAATTAAATCGTTTGAATAATGTTTAATTGCGTTTTTAAATAAAACTAGCAAGTAAGTGTATTGATAAACGTAAAAATTTATGTTAACTTGTTTAAAATATTTAGAGCCCAGCTTCAGGTAGAAGGGTTTTATACCGAACAATTGTGTCCGTCTCTCCGTTCTGGGCGAGTAAAGTTCACAAATGTACAACTATCTCTTGTATCAACCGACTTTAAATAAAATAACATTTAATTCAGAACTTTCCGGTACAAAGAACTGAAATTGTATGTAGAACAATAAATGAAAGTTTCGTAGACATTTACATTTTCAAACAAGCTCTTTATTATTTCGTGGTCACGGATTACAAACAGTTTAAATTAAAGTGCTTCAGGCTTATGAGATTGTGATTAATGTTGCTTTTCCCGTAATTATGGGATGTTTATGATTATAGCTGGCTTTTAATAGAATTATTAGTGCCTACAAAATGTAGGGAATTAATGAATGAGATGAAATTGATCTACATATACACCCTACAATGTAGGTTACCGGTATCATGTAGGGCCTACATGATACCGGTAACCTTGAAACACCGAAATAGATTTTCGGTACTATAGGTAGGTACATCATTCATTTTGATAATATGGATTGCCTAGCTTGGTACCCTAGTCTATTGATGATAAAGGCTTTCTGTTTTTTAATAATTTTGGCTCGACTCGGGGACAGCACTTTATACCTTGTGCCACTTTGTCTTTATTTCATAATCATCATCATCAGTCCGTATTCGTCCAATACTGCACATAGGCCACTCCAATGGCACGCCACTGAGCTCGGTCTTCAGCTCTTCTCATCAAACCACTGCCAGTCACCCTGCGTATGTCGTCACTCCACCTAGCTGGAGGGCGCCCCACACTATGTTTGCCTAGAGGCGGTCTCCACTCTAGAACTGTTTACCCCAACGGTTATCGGTTCTTCGACAAATGTGACCGACCCACTGCCACTTCAGCTTACCAATCCTTTGGGCCATGTCGGATCACTTCGTTTCCGATTCGATCCTTCATAGAGACTTCGAGCATATAATTTATTTCATCATGGAGTCAAATGTTTTTGAGGAATTCAGAATTCCTCATTCTCACATTTGACTCGGCAAAAATCGTCAGCATTTTTAGTATGTGGACACTACTATGATTTAACCTGTGTCTTTTGATATAGGTTGTCTATCAAAAGAGGAACAAATATTTCGCTAAATGATTTTACTACTAACTGAATAGAACCAGTAAATCCAATCTTTAAAGTTATGCAATTACTTACGCAATGCATTAGTGTTTTTTTTATTTCGTGCATAATGGCCATAACGGTAGAAACTGTTGTTGTTGGAAAACTAGGTTTCGGTTTCGCATGTTACGCGAGAATCGGATCATTTTTTGTAAGCGTAGTTTTTGGTAGAACGTTACGTCGACCGTTTAAGAGACTGACAATAGGTAAGTTATTTACCATAACCACAGTAATTGACATAGCCCAAAGGATAATTAATCTATCGGCAAAACAATGCCCTTTGGGATACCTACCAGGATTCTGAATGTCCAGTAGGAGATGAAAACGGAATGACACTAATGAAAAATGTAAAAAAATCGCTAGTTATTCTGACAAACTCTCATTTTGGTTTCATTTCGTTAGGGCTTAATGTCAAAAGTCAACATGCGAGCTCATTACACTTTTTTAAGTTTGCAGACGTACTCGGTCTAGCGTATTTTTTTACCATCAGGCGCTAGGTGAACTGTACGCTTAACTCTCATCTCGGTGCGTTGGTGTAATAAAATAATTTCACAGCTTTTTATAGCCAACCACGAGCCATTATAAGTGTAATAAAAATACATACATTTTTAAGACATTCAAATTATCTGTCGTCAGTTTATAGGCGGTCATAATATCCATTATCTTTACTGCGTAAATGGGGAATCGTTTTAATAAAACGAATATCAGAATTTTATTGTTTTTTCTCATTCAAAATGAGCCAGTGAGAGCTATTTGCACTTATAGCTATAAAATACTCTTTATCTTTTTAAAGTTCTTAAACATTTGATGCCAGTTACGTTAGTCGTTTCAGTAATTATTTTAATTACTTTGCGCTTGTTCTGAATGAAATATGAGTACAATACTCCGTCCAATCATATTTTAAGTGCGTTTTAGTTTTAGTGTCCATATTTTTTAACTTGATAATTAGCCCGTAACTCCATTCACGTTATTAGGATATCCTCCGTATGCTTTTTGAGTTCTTATAATGCTATTTTCTTCTTCGTTCTGTTGTAATTTATTATGATTTTACATGATTATCATAAAAATAGCTGTATACCGATTTCGCAATTCTTTTTTGTAGGGTTTGTTTTGTTAGGGGAAGGCTTAGGTTCTTCTGTAAGAAAAAAATGACAAAGTTGCGGAGAAAATTTTCAAGGCGAAAGTTCGCAGGGTGCACAAGTTACAAATAAAGTTTCTCAAATCAACCGCCTGTTCTGGAATCTATTTTAAATATTGCATCCCCTTTACAATTAAAAAAATCAGAATCTGTACTTACTTTCATATCAAGTAACGACCACGGAACGATTTAATGGAATGACTGGCACACCTGTGACTCTTGCACAGTGACTTGATGCGACTCAGTGACTTGACAAACAATCTTAGATCTATAGGGAAATTAATCAAAATATAAGTATAATAAATAATTATTATAATAATTGAAAAGTGGGGTTTAGTATGTAATTGTTTCGCAGTTTAGTTCCCATAACAATATTTGGTTTACATGAATTAAATGCGAAGTTATGTTCTCAAGAAACTATTTGAAAATGTTTTACAAATGGCTTTATGTCTTGCTCATCAATAGCCTAGCTATATAATTACTTATACGTATATCTTCTCAATGAATCTACACAAGACGTAATGCAATGATAGTTGAGTTTATAAAACTTATGTAGCTCACAAAGAAGATTGTATCTATAACATTCTAGATTTCAATCTAGCACGTTGTAGTTATAATAATACTTCTACCTCTAGAATGTCGCCCTATGGGGCCTAGTTAATGTATAATATATAGAACACCTTATCTTAATGTTATGAATGCTATTAGAATTTCTAATGATTATTGAGTATGGAATATAAGAAAGGTTAGGTTCAAAGAGTTACGTTTTAACACAGAAAGCTGGGTAACTTTACGTTAATGTGTACAGAATATATTTACTCCAAAGATTTTATTTGTTCTTCCTTCCCGACACTGAAATAGAAATCTCCACAAAGATTTATGTGTTGTCTATTTCTGTGCATCTATCTGGAGAACATTTTTAATCTCAGTACTATGGCCACAGTGGCCACTTGTAGATACTGCAACACTAATTAAGCTCTCGAAGGGCATCCGGCGCATGCGCACCGAGCAATCAACCGGTCGTTGATTCCTCAGCTTCTTTGTGAACGATTTATCTTCGCCATTTTGTTTTATTACCTTTTTAAAAGACGAACGCCTAATTAAATCGATTGTTTTGGTTCGATTCGTTGAAATTACGAGACCGGTGTTCTTAGAATCCCGAGATTATCGGGCTCAGCCCAGGAGAACACACGAATTATACTCAGCGTTTTATATGTCTAAATTGATCCTAATTAATTATTTCAAGACTATTGTACCCACATTAACTCGTTTCTACACGTGTACGTCCGAACGTATGTAATTATAACGCGACTTAATTCAGCATCTCGTTTCATTGCTGTAACACGAAATTAGAGTAATTAATTTTTCATTTCGCAACAGTTCGGACTCCAAGATCTTTTTTGTGAATAATATGAAACTATAGTTATCAAATATAAGACCTATTTAGAATCATTTAAGACTGAATGTTGCGTGCAATTTTTATTCAACAAAACATTCAATTAGATGCACGTGCAATTAAGCAGTAACTGTTTACAATTCACGAAACAATCGTAGACTTAATGACGACGATCGCATAGCAAGCCGCGTACTCCAGGAAGACTGTGTACATTTTTTTAATTAGGAAACCGGCTCGGTAAAAGCAGCCTTCCGTCATCGGCGTACAGACAGGAAAGCATCATCGATGTGTATTAATGAAGCCAAGGCACGGATCGACCGGGTATGCGCGCACGCCAGCCAGTGTTACCGCGCATTTCAAACGATACACTCGCGAACTGCAAATGTATTTTCCAAAAACCTCTGAGGTCGATGACACAAGTTCGGAAGGACTCGAAATGTTACGGATTTAATCGATTCTCGTATAGATGATCGATTTGTTGAGGTGGATATCGATTCTGCAGTGCTTTGTTTTGTTTTAGCGTAGGTAATTGGATGGGAACTCTCGTTCAATTGGTTTACTTTTACTTTATGTTAATAAACAGTTGGTGCATTGTTATTGTATCATTTACCAGTGTAGGGATGGATCTTGATATAAAAATGAGTCTGCTTGGGAACATTCATGTCATTTGCTGAAGTTTAATTGTGGTTTCTTGGTGTGCTTTCGGAGTTTTAAACGGTTCTTAATGGTACATACGTGTATAGTTGTATAGTTAATTCTACTTACGATAAAGAACAATAGTAGTTTGTTTTACACTATTAATATAATAGTTTTGCATAAATAACTTATATTGAACACGAAGAAATACTATTAGTGTCTGTACCATATCAGTTGTTGGAATGCGCGTGTTGTTATCTCCTAAAACTTATTAGTTTGATACATTTTCTTGTAAACAAAGATCGTTATTGAGGAGCAAACGTTAATTTTTTCAAAGTTCAAAGGATATCATTGTATCGTAAGATTCGATTGACGTCAGCTATCATAAACAATACACCCATTCTAATGAAAAAGTCAAATTATAATAACGATCTAATCAAAAATAGGGCGGGGCGAAGTCATTCCAAAGAAATATTTTGGCAGAAATAATACTTGATTTGATTCATTCATTGATTTTTATGAGCCTATAAAAGAAATTAGATTTTATAGACGCAATATTAGAAAACAATGACCCAACTGTTTGATTTATACCTGTAATCAAACTTTCTCGTTTCATTTTTCCTTGACTATAAAAAGCAAAAGCAAAACATAACATGCTAACTCTAGACCTTTTTCAATTTGAGATAGTAGTAACAAGTGAAGATAGTAAAACATCGTGTACTTTCAGATGTTAAACGTATATTAAAGAAGAATATATGTCTAGTGAAAAATTAAAAACAATCAAGATGTACACGAAAGTGCTAGTGATGTTAATGGCAGTGTCTCTGATGCCAATGGTCCTGTCCAGATCGAGGAGGTACTCGAAGTCGCAGGGCAATTCATTGTACAAGATCAGATGTGATCTCAAGTGTATCGATTTAGAGAAAGAGGATAAACATATAGTAAGTAAATCTATTTATGTAACAATTATTTTATTTCTCTTCATTTATAACTGAATACAGCTGTGGCCTATTGTGTTTTAAGTTTCATGGTAATAATAGGGAGCGACCAATTTATATGGTTTGCGCATCTTGAATTACGTTAACTGTTCTATAATAACTTTAATAGAGAAAATGTACCCGTTAAAGATAAATGTGTCAATGACGATCGAATCTGAATGCACAGTCCCTTGAAAAATACGTATCTTGCAGTTACGTTTCAGACTTCCTATTACCTGTTTATTCACTGGTATTGTACTGTAGAATTAATTTGTCACTTATCCAAAACCACTTATCATCGAAAGAGATAAGAAAATCCGTAATCCGCAATGATCATGAACAAATTAGGGGAAACCCAAATTATATCAGAATAACAAAGAATGGAGTACCCAAAAATGTCATAGGTACACCAACGAAGTTCAATGAGCCCAGTGATGAAAGAATTATTGACTCGGATGCATGCTCACTTGATCCACAAAAAATACGCTACGCGCAGAACACTGAACACTTTACGCTAGATCTAAATAAAAAATGATTACCAAGATAGCTGTCACTACGACCACGACTTAACAAGTTCTCAGAACAGACATAAACACAATACAAAAAATGTAAAAGAACGTAAAATGAAATACAATCAAGATTGCAACGTGTAGTTAGCAAAAATAATTCTGCGGCTACAGAATAAGTTATGTAACCTGTGCACAACAGGATCAAGCCTAAAAGGGCGCATTGTGCTAATTCAAGAACCGCAAAAAGAAATTATACGGGATTGTGTCACGAGAAAAAATTGTGTCCGAGGAGTTGTAGTGACACAAGACAATCGCATTTTGATCGCGACATACGTCGTGAGTTAACGAGCTTCGATCCTAAGCTAGATTTTTTCATCTGGGCAAAAGCCCAGGCATTTCTAATTCGCTTCTTGTATGTTTACGACATGTCGTAAAAGCAAAAATAAAGCTCGAGATCGAGAAGTTTTGATTACATTCATACGTTGAATTATTAAAAATGTACACGAAACGTAAGATAAAATGAAACATAAAACCCAAAATACTAACATAACTATTCCATTTAACGACTGATCCAGACCTTTCCAATTTAGTTCAACAACATAAGATACTGGTGTGAAAAATCTGCATACCCATAGAAATTAACATCCCAGTCGTGAATCACTGCACTTCAAAGGAATAGTTATTTTGTAACTATTGTGTACACGCTAATGGTCCAAAGTTACTAATGAGTCTGAAGTAACAGAACTTGTCTAAATGAATGCCCCTATTCACAACATGGCGAGACCTGTGTCTACATTACAAGCAAATATTATAATACTTCTAGACAGGGCAGAAAAAACTGAACAAATGCTCCTTCTTGTCAAACAATGCTGTCTGGTCGAGGAGTAATTTAAGAATACACAGCAAGTAATCTATGAAAGTCGTTATTAGACTGGGTACTAACACCCGCCTAATATATCGATCTGTCTTGGAATTGGGATTAGTCATGTACCATTGCAAAAGTCGATGCAGATTTTCAAGTTACATTTGAAATTGTCAAATTTTGTAAATTGCAACTTTTTGTTTTACAATAGATCACTTCAGGTTTAATAGAAAATCTTTTCACAGTGCAAAGCACAATGCCGTTTGAACGAGAATAAACCAGGGACGTGTCCAATATCTGACTCGCCGAAGTGGGAGGCTGCTTGTGTGGAAGCATGCAACGCCGACTCACAATGCGATGGTACGCAACGGTGCTGCCGCCATTCCTGTGGGTCCACTTGCAGCGAGCCTACCGATCTTCTGACTATACCAGGTGAATTTTGCTTGGTCATGCTAGCGTTGCTTTTTTGTCAGTTAGGTGCTGACTGGATTCATGTTTTTATTAGATGGTTTCAATTCTCTAGTTAACAAATGGTCATTTCATTCTTATAATATCTCTTAAAACACTTTTAGCTTAGTCTCAACCAACAAAATTGCAAAATGTTAAGTAAAGTTATCTACTAGGTATGTACATCAAATACTTTAAAAAGTTTTTAAAGTACTTTAGGGGTAGAGCAAGTTGAACTAAAATTGTTGAGAACCCTTTGTTACGTCAATCAAGTTTGGAGAGGTTAGTTATTTTTAGCCGTTTTAAGTGAAACCGTTTTAAGTCCAAAATGGAGACCACCCTATAAATTAAAATTTTTTGCTTTACTTTTCACGAGTAAAGTCGTACTCTTTTATCGTTGTCGTCTCAACAGTAAGTCGGATTATTTTTCTAACAAGGGATGATCTTAAGCACACACGATTTTCTTTAGAGTTTCTAAAGTATTGAGATTTTCTTTAGAGCTTCTGTAGTGATTGATTTTAATTATTTTAATTAGATTTTTTACGACATCGGAGAGGCCTATGTTTAGCAGTAAACGAGAATTCAAGTCTTATTTTTTTAAAACAGGTCTCCCAGCCTTACCCACAATTGAAGAGCCTAAAGAGAAAAAGAGATCTGTGGTGATCAGATGGTCAGATGGAGTGGGGGATGCAGCAAGAGCGGTTCCTGGACCTGTCTTCTACGTGCTAGAGGAACAACACCATCTGGGACCGAAGTACGAAGAGATGAGACTTGGAGAATGGAATTTACTATTGAGAACGAATAAGTAAGTTTTACACTGACACGCCACACTATCCTAACCTATCCTGCTAATTAAAGGAATTTGATGTTCTCAGAGGATGTAAGGATATTTGTTGTTTTCATGTAAACACGACTGAACGCATGGAATCTGCTGATTGCTAGTTAGAGCTAGTGTTTAATATTAGGTTGAAGTTTCTGATATTTTTGTAACAATGTCGAAACATTAGAAACTGAACTACGTATCGGGAATAGTAAACAATAATTGTCTTGCTCAAATATCTATTTTAAATGAGTAAATTGAGCTACAAATAAAACATGTCTAGGCGTTGATTAGGTAGTAAAAAATAAAAATGGCAAAACATGGAATAGAGATGTAGAGGTAGGATCATTTCACAAATGAAGTAAAGAAACTTCATAAAGTATACATTGTTCTCGTAGACAAAGAACAAATATTTTAGAGAGTCTCACATTAAATTGACACTAATGTCTTTGAAAGTTAAGCTTCACCACATAGTAGGTACTTGGGATGATGAGGTTTGAACTTGTTTTAATTGCTCACTTTGCTAAAATCTAACCTTTACATTGATTTTATAGGAACAATCGATATTCCTAGAGAGGAGATTCCACAGCAATTACTGGAATCGGGCTGAAGATGATGATGATGATGTTGAGTCAAATATTCAGCGTATTTTTGTAATTTTTGACTTCAGCAAACAGTATCAAAAATGCTAATGTAATCTAATGTTAAGCCAATCATACAGTAACATGTACATACTAAAATATCTGATCTTTGTGCGGATTTTTCGCATGATGGATTACGAAATATCCATCCATTTTCATAAACTCTCGCGTTTATTCCCTAAACACAACACAGTACCTAAGATTTTACCTCACAAATATCATTTTTTGTGAGCTACCTACTATAATAATAAATTACCCAACGTAACGTTACAGCGTAACAAAGTAGAAAGTAATCAAGCAGGCACTTCTATTATGTATGAACAAAATCTAGTTTATAGCACTTAGCCTAGGTAAGTTACTTAATGAAAATATAACAATCACGTAACGGCTGTGACCTGACTGAACACGCATGGTTATTTATTGCCAAAAGTACACGTCTGATATTATTTTTATGTGCGTGTACAACTTCATTTTCTATCTTTCTTCTGGCAGTCCTGACTTTGTTTCCACTTTCCATATGATTGGACTTATCACTACGTAAAGACTGAACCTTAACCAGAATAGTCTGAACATCAGAAATGTACATCATCCAACACACACACACACAAAACACATCTACCAGTCCAGGGTTTCTTAATTTTAAACCTCTATGTTACAATTTATTACCTACTTCATACTTGTTAGTTACAGACAAGTTCCTAAAATAAACTCAACGGTTTTATAAATAAGAGCAACATTGCAATAAAATTTTATGTAGCTCTTGATTCTGGTTGTTATTGTTCCAATTACAGTAATTTTTGAACTGTGAATTGGTTTAAATCACTGCCTATATCTGCATAAATATTTACTGCCTCATCTGTCTGTTGATCTTAAGTAGTTGCCTACTCATTGACGGGTTCCTGGTAACCAAATTAATAACCGGATTCTGTAGGGTAGGCTAGTGTCTGTCAATCTCCTGTACTGGATGATGTAGGTACTATATTGACGATAGCACTTTATTGTACGAATTGAACGAATAAAATAACGAATGAAAGGATACTTCAATACATCGACCTACTCCTCAAATAATCTTAAACCCTATTACAAAATAATAAAGTCGGATAACTTAATTTTGACATACGAGCCTTTATACACACCTCCACACGAAAAGGTCTACAAAATTTGAAACAATCGTGCAATTATGTTAAAAATATTAACTACAACTTTCTGAGTACCTAATTACCCAATAATTAAAACAAGTACGTATAAATAAAACCGCTGTAAGTGTGTCAATTTTCATAATTTAATACCTAGTATTAAAGTGAAATCGTCTATTACTTTACAATCGATTAACGTTCTCACGAAAAGAATAGTTAGGTACAAACATACCCTAACAGCATTGTCAGTGATTTTACTACTAATAAAAAAACTGATGTATATAGGCAATTAGAAGGAAACCAGGAACTTCTTGAACAATACAGAAAGAGAGTTAAATAAAGAAAAATGTTTTCCTAGACTTTCCTTTTAGTTTTTATTATTTAATCAAGAAGCTTTGTCTTTGTAATGTTATGATAACATTATTCTACTCGTTGCTCGCTTTACTGATGTTGAAGTTTTAATATAAACGTTTGTGTAGGACAATGGTATGGGCTTGGGTACATTTGGGTCGAAGTTTGGATATAGCTACATTATTTTGTTAACAGTAACTGTCTGAATAGATGAAAGATAGTTTTAAGTGTTAACAATGATTTACTCGTAGAAGAGTCATATTTCGGCACGAATGAGAAGGTTTTATTGAAGTGATATAACAGTCTCATAATTAAAGTTACCTTACTGAAATAATTACACATTAAGTACCTAAAATTACTTGTAAATAAGTTTCAAATTAAAAACTTACCTTTAAACATTTTTCTGCAGAACCAAGGTATCTTTACGAAATGCTCTGAAACCGGGTCGTTGGTACCGGTTCCGAGTGGCAGCCGTAAGTTCTTCGGGCACTAGAGGATTTTCAGCTCCCAGTTCTCCGTTCACACCTCGACGAGGACCACGTCCCCCTCCATCCCCGAAGAAGCTGAAAGTGCGCCCTGTAAGAGAGAATAATGGTAAGTGAAAGTTTTGTTAAATCCATTTTGTGAGGAATGGCGCTGGAGTCGCGTCTACTCGCCAGGGTCTAACTTATGGTACAATATGATAATATTTAGAGAGATAGACTATATAATTAGAGAATATTACGAGAAAGAATATTATGTATAATATACTAGAATAATTGTATAATATGAATACTTTTTGAAAGAATAACTTGAGAGTAAAAATTACTCTAGAAATTAAGATATTTTTACTCCATGCCACCATTTTTAAATTACTCCTTTCGCAAAAATGGACACTTAATAGACCGTTAAAGCGAACACGATGAAGTGAGGATAATTATCCTAAATTTGGATTCAATTTGACCGACATGACACGCTGAGCGAGACAAAATCACATAATTGTCTACCTATAACTGAATACATAATATAATCAGGGACAATACTGCGTCGCTCATAAAAAAGTAGGAATTTATTATGAGGCAAATTTTTAAGTCACGCTAAGTTGATTACTATCGGAATTCTAAGTAAGTAATAGAACTTAATACTATAAAGAGTTTGTTGTTTGTTTTAGGCACCGTAACTGTGAGATTGGAATGGAAGGAGCCACACTCAGATCTGCCAGTGCTGCGATACAAAGTCTTCTGGAGTAGACGTGTTAAAGGCTTGGGAGGAGAACTAGACTCAGTGCTGGTCAACCATCAGACGGTGCCCAAGGTAAAATAAACTTTAAATTAATAGCAAAAGCTTGACATTGAAAACAAGACCCATCTTATTGCACACTAAAATGTTGATTTTGGGGCGGACGTTTCTGTAACGAGGTGGTACTTAGTTTTGACATGATAAGAACATTAGAACAGGCGGTATTATGAAGAAGGGTGACAATAAAAACGAGATTTTATTCGAGAAGACCTAAAGAGCATTTTAACTTAAAAATATCTCTTGTTTTCAGGACCAAAATTACATTGAAATCAAGGACTTGCAGCCAAACTCGATGTACTTCTTACAAGTGCAAACGATCAGTCAATTTGGTCTTGGTAAACTTCGCAGTGACAAAGCGTCAATATTCTACAACACTACTTCAACGGGTCGCTTTGGTAACTGTCTATTTTATTTTGTTTTTTATGAAGTATGGCGACAGTCTTGTAAGTTAAGGACCTTCATGCAATCGAACAAACCTACACGATATCATTCATAGTCATTCGGGTGCTGGCTTAATATCAGCTTCATAAACTTTCGTGCCCAAACGCATGCCAGATTAAACAAATCGTATACCGTTCGGTCTGCCTATAACATAAACTAACTTTTACACTTCATTCTTGAAAAGACCTGCTGCTGAACTTTATATACCAAATTTTGTTAAGTAAAACTTTTTCCAAAATAAAGCCACACAACCACCATCTAGCCTGAACGAGCCAGTTACGAAAAATTGCCTCCGGTGAAAATATTAAAAATTTAATCGTGATTCGTGAAACGTGTCAGAAACGACCTAGTTCTATCGTTCCAACGGTTGTAGTGGGTAACGAAGTGCTCTACGGGCGAAGCATCTAAATAATTTAGCTAGACATTCCGTCGTTGAATTACAAATTGGGACGGGTAAAGCAGATCGAAGTACCTAAACCCTACTGACGTAAAAAGCTTTGCTTGCTAGAGAATTAGAACATATCTACTGAGTACAAACTAATACAATACAACTGAAATAAATCATCAGAATGATTTTCATTAACGAATAGATTGTGGTACCAGTCGACGACGGCGTCCTGGAATCCGGAATCTATAAAAAATATATAATAACAAAACAATCTAATTGTAGAAATCATTTCCGATTAATTATTTAGTACCTACTGCATGACAGGTAATATAGAAATAAGGAAACGAAAGAAAATTAACAACTGTACTTATAAATATTTAAAGTTCAAACCAAGCAGGAATTATTTAATATTATTTATTTGTGCATGTCTGGAACGAAACGTAGGTATATAGAGACAAACACTAATCTGATAATTATGATTTTCTTTCAGAGTCACCTCCAGAACCGCTTCAAAAACGTGACAGTAAAAAGATAAGAGGTCTCAGCTTACACAAAATTGTGTGGTACAATGGAAAAATAAAGGCTAGAATCGCCTGGCAGCCTCTCCTTAGTGTTTACGAGCAGCCCGGAAGGTAATATTTCCAACAAATAAAATGCATAATAGGTACCTACTTAACTTACTTGATGGCGCAGCAGGATGCATTATTCACATATTTTATTTTCTTATTTTTCCTTATGTAGATGTAGATGGGTAGTAAGCTAATGAAAGAGAATTTATACCTTCGAAACATTACATTGTAGACATGTACCTAGGTACCTACCTATTAAGTTATGTTACCTGTTATGATGTAGGTAAGAGAGTAAACGCCGTCTGAACGCGATTTAGCTAAAAACTTCACTTTTCAAATGCATTTTGACAATAAACTCCTTATCTTACAAACATGTTAATTACCAATAACTTAGGTTCATCGGTATCTAACTACTAACCCAGGAAGATAGATAGGTACCTTCCTACTTACTAAGCACCTAGGTACTTGTAGGTAAGATTTGGTAGGTATCTAATTGGTATTTAAATCTAATAAGAACTGCTCTTGACAGTACCAGTCTATGTATATACTACATATTATTTATATTTTATAGGTTTATGTAAAAAATAATAATTATGAAGGTACCTGGTTTTGTATAGGTAGGTAAGTATGTACCTAAATCTAATTTTCTTGCTTATGTTGCAGGTATTACGTTCATTGGAAAGCCATTAAGTGCCACAATCCCAAAAAGATACACAGAGAAGGGTTAACTGCCATTACTGAGGTAAATGCCTATATAATTATAGTAATAGTAAAAAAATATTATCTGCGTAATTTTCTAAATATTCGGGAATAGCATGAAGTTAGAAACGAGTTAAAAGTGCGGTAAAATTTTTTATTGCCATGCCAGGCCATTAACTACTATTTTGGTAGGAAATGTTTTTTAGTATAATATTAAAAAATAGTTCAATATGTTAATAATAAATTTTCATTTTCTTTTACAGGATACGACCTTTGAACTATATGAGTTGAACTACCGGTGTATTTATAAGGTAAATGTCAATTCAACGCCACGTCTCAAAACGCCAGATTCGGAACTTACTGTAACTGTTCCTGCGTGTGAATATTTTAAAAGAAGAGTCGGTAATACCACTGTAGTAAACTGTGACGAACATAATTAATTTGTATTAATATAATTTATGATGAGTATAACCTTGACTGTCAATTTTTTACATATTTCGTGTTAAATGTCGGTCACTTACACATTTTTTATATGTCAACTTCTAGATAAATAACAGCTTGTCATGTAATTTTGTATTCAAATGCTAGTTGAATTATTATGTTCATAATTATTATGACATTGTAAAGAATAGTCTTTAGCTATTAAGTTCTTAGTAAACTAAAAAGTGACATGAAAAGTTCACATACTTTGTACGAAAGAAGTTGTTAATGAAAAAATAAATAAGAATTATTAATATAAAAATTATAAATACTTTATTTATTAAATGTGAGACTATTTTAATTAATAAAACTACTATTACCTCCGAAATACTTCGTTATTTGAAAGAGATCCCAAATCACCATTCATACAGCTGTACTATTGTTTAACGGAAGGGTTTTGCTTTGCGAACTATTTATATAGTTTGCAAAATTATGATCATCAAACTGCAAGATAAAATTATCATAAGATAATCCTGGTGGGAACTGATCTTGGATGTAGCATCGCCATGTGTAATCTAGGGACAGCCAAACCAAATATCATACATACCAAACTTTTACGCTGTCCGGTTTATTCAGTTTATAGCATTTCGGATTGTTCCAAAGCTTTCAAGCTTCGACGATATCACCCATTCATCTATATTCGAGTTACCGAGATCTATCACATCATTATGAACATATAAAATTCATAATTAAGGACAAAACTCACTCCTGAAAGGAACCTGTTCAACTTTAAGCGACGTAGTTGCAAGCCTTACAAAGAGATGGCAGGACGAACTAGACATTTTCTAACAATTATTGGTCTCTAAAGGCGTTACCCAGATAAAACTGGAAAGAGAATAGGACATTCGTGGCTGGGAAAATCATTTTATGGGTTTCGTTACCGCCCCAATAATAACTTTATGTGAAAAATAAATTGTTTTGTTTGCCGAGCAGATATCATTTGACTACCATTGGAAAACAGAAAATCCTGGTGTAGGGTATTGTTATGAAAATTCAAAATAATCACAAAAAAAAATGTATCAAAATAGAAGTGATGAAAAATAAAATAGTAGTTTTAATTTTTTCTTAGCTGGCAACTGCGTATTCGCGCTTACTCCGTTGCTAACTTCATTCAGGACATTTGCAACCCTCAGAATGTCAAAAGTAAATAAAAAGAGTATTTTGTGAAATAATTAAAATTTAAAACACTAATTACACGTTTTGCTAATATTTACCTACCTGCACCTATTGTGTTACTATTTACTATTTTCACATTGTAAGTGTTATTTATTAGTGTCGTATACAAATCTTATTGGAAAATTTCGCGAATGAGATCATTTTACTGTGTAAAAAACATTTTTCTTCTTGGGAAAGTTATATCCTTCTACATTTTCAAGTACAAGACTTCCTACTGAAATATTATTTAGTGTTCATTTAAATATTGAGTGCTCTCTTTAAAGGTGCGAATATTGCCAGGGCGTAACCACTGCTCAGGCCGATCGCAGGCTGTGTTTAAAATGATATTTATTAATATTTTCTGAAACATAGCGAACAGTGTTTGTGTAAAAAATGGCTGAGGACGAAGTGCTTTTCGACGATGTGTACGAATTGTGTGAGATCATTGGCAAGTAAGTAAATATTGCAAATTATTTCGTGATAAAATAACGTGCGACGTGCATTCGCACTCCCTCGTAATACCTATTGGTTATTTTACACCCTGCGTAAAACTACAAACGTGTCTATCTACATTTATAAACATTGTAGTAAAGACTTCCTTCGTTTTCATGTTTTTTATGTAAATGTGAACTTATTTTTTTAATAGGTAATAGGAAGAAATTATTTAGGACGAAATTCGTTTCGAGTTTTAAAAAAAAGAATTACTAGTTATCTTACATTTTGAATTTAGAAAACTTATATCCACAATTTATTAATTTACGATACAAATAGGATTATTCCAATTAGAAATTAATGTTACTAGAATTATAACTAAATTAAATTTTTGTGCCAAACTCATCGAATTATGCTTCAAAATGAATTATGTTTTGGAATGTTCCTATGTTTACATTGCAATCATGTTGAAGTGTTTGCTTAGATAACAATTAATGTGAGACAGGTATAAACAATACAGAATTTATGAATGAGCTTAAGCAGTAATAAACCATCAATCTCGTTTTTTATTACAATTTTATTATTCTTTTTAAACAGGCAAGGTACACTTTATACATTATTATGTAAAGCTTGTCTGCAAAGTATTGCTTCTAAATGTATTTCTAATAAGAATATTATGTAGGTAGGTGGATATGATATTTAGATCATAACAATTTAATCTATTAGGGGTCACACAACAGTTCTATGATAGTTTAGTATATGATAGTTCAGTCAATATTATTTTAATCATAGTAAACTGTTCTTAAATTGAAAAACATAACTTGTAGGTACCTACCAAATTGTCTATTATAAAAATTATGTGTATTTACGTGATAATAAAACCCCTTTTCAATCAACTTCAAAATAGGTAGATTCTCAGTTAGGAGTATTAATCTAATGCACACACAATTTTTTTTAAAAACAATAAATGTGAATAATTTTCTAATAGCAAAATATTTGTTTAAAATATTTACATGTCAGTCAAATTACAGTTTACTTTTGCCATTAATATTCAGTACCCCAATCAAATTGTAAATTGGACTAAATTCATACTTGGCAACTCATACATAATTTATAACTATTGATAATGACTGGAAAGTGGTATGAAATAACTGTTACATATTGTTAGTGTTTTAATTTCACTATTTCACATTTGTATTTAGAGCTAAATTGAATTTATTGTGTTCCATGAGACTAAAGAACAACATTGCTTTATAGACAAGTTACTACTCTAGTACATAGGCGTAAATAAATACATAACATCACACCTTTTAGCCCCGAAGGGGTACGCAGTGTGCACATTATGGCTTATAATGCCTCTGTAAAATGTAACATGCACTTTTCATTATTTATGTTATGAGTCCCATGTAATAAGGGGTGACCCTATTGCCAAATACCAGGTACAATTCTAGGCTCCACTACTGGATTTAAAAAAACCCAAGTGTAGGTAAATAAATACAAGTAGATTATTTTGAATGCATTAAATGTTTATTATGGTAATGATGAATTTTTAACTTTTCATTATAATTGTTTTATTTATCTGTTGTTCTCAAGTACGGGAATGTGTATTTTTCTATTGAGAATAATGAAAATCCTTATACGCAAATAGAAACAATCAATCATAATATAAATTATTCTTCATTTTATAAGCTGACTTAACTCGTCGAGTACCGGTTTTGTAGACACAATTATAGAACAATAGGTTGCGGTCACCGGTGACCGCTTGGTGTTTGACAGTTTAAGTTTGTATACTTTCCTATAGAAAACGAAATCAGTTTCTGTAACAACTAATTAGAATTAATTTTATACTTGTCAAGTTGAACAATCAGCTGTTATTAACATTAGTTATTATTTGAGGCCATGGTAAAATAAAATTAGTAATAGATTAGTGAGCGGTATCTTTATAGTTTATTCTTCATAGTCTACAGATCTAGGTTATAAAAAACATAAAAATTACTTGGATATTTTATAGACGAGGCAGTATTACTTTGAAATAATGTTTTGTTTTCAAATTAATGTTAAACAACTATTATTCTCTCATAAAACAGTTTAAAAAAACTAAAATGTTAATATGGGTCTGATGGGCCAGGCATATTAATATAATAAAACCTTGTTCTAACAAAAAATCTTCTGAAAACCGCATCAAAATCAAGTCAGCCAATCGCGAGATAACATACATACATTATACATAGACATCAAACTCCTTTTTTTACTTTTATAGTTATATCTTAGCAATTTCGATACCTGTAATACATTATAGGTTCTTTTTTTTCTTAAATGATACAAGCAAATCAATTCTGTTTCTAGGGGACCATTCAGTTTGGTCCGTCGCTGTGTCCATCGACAAACAAGCCAGCAGTTTGCTGTGAAGATTGTTGATGTGGCTCGCTTCACCGCTAGCCCAGGTCTCAGCACTGCTGGTAAGATTTCTTTATTTAAATAATGTAAGTAATGGTTATATGCTGATAGCATATTGAATGGTAATAGAAAAATATCAAAGTGAATAATTATCTATATGGTAACATCTTATTGGGTAGCATTCTAAGAGGCATTGTTGGGTCTCTTAACGCAACCAATTTTAATCGATTAAAATACTGAGCTACCTATTCCAATGTTTTGATTATTGCAAGAAAATTTAAGTACTAAAATAATAAGATTTTAAAATTAATGTAGGGTTTGTTTATGATTACGATAAAGTTAATTATTATATGAAAATATTCTATTGTACTTTTCAGATTTGAAGCGAGAGGCAACAATATGCCATATGTTGAAGCATCCGCATATTGTGGAGCTGCTGGAGACATACAGCTCCGAGGGAATGCTCTACATGGTGTTTGAATAGTAAGTTATAAATAAATTAATTTCTATAAAATTATGTTATATTAGTGTAAATTAAAACATACATTTTTTTTTATTTCCAGTATGGATGGTTCGGATCTCTGCTTTGAAGTTGTACGCAGAGCCACCGCTGGATTTGTCTACAGCGAAGCTGTTGCTTGGTGAGTATACAGAGGTCAAGCTATCCATCTTACATTCAATAGAAGTATTCAATTATTTGTCATCTAGACACCAGAACGCTTGTTTTCTTTTTCTGGACTTCTTTAAAAATTTTACGTTCAACCTTTTTTAAATGTCAGTTGGTACGATCAAGTTTCTACCCAACACAGACAACACTACTGCATTCTTCTACAAAAACCACCATAGTATCTTAGCTCATGATGCACTAAAGTGATCTAATTACATACATATTTCTCTTTCCAGTCACTACATGCGACAGATCTTGGAAGCTCTGCGCTACTGCCATGAGAATGACATCGTGCATCGTGACGTCAGACCTCACTGTGTGTTACTCGCCGGGCGTGATAACTGTGCTCCCGTCAAACTTGGAGGGTTCGGTGTAGCTGCCCAGCTACCTACTCCAACTGCTAATCGGGTTCAACCTGGTATGATATTTGTGGTTTAATTTTGTGCTATATTAAGACTGCGTTAGAGTTTAATTTTATATGAACTGGTACGAATTTTCTCTCGGTTGCAATTCCATCATGTATCTGATCAAATTGGTAGTCGTTATTTGAATTTTTTCTTTATTAATTACTCTTGTTTGGCAATTTTTGATTTTAGTGTAGTTGTTATAGGTATGATTTGCCCATTAATACCCATTTCATTCAACAAGGCCCAACTTTTTTTCTTGGGTAAACAACTAGAAACTTATTGTAATTTTGGTCAAACAATCTATACTATAATAGTACTATTATGCGTGTCTTAGTGTAGTTAATGAATATAGGTAGATAGGTAGGCTCTTGAATATTGAAGAATAATAATTGTATACGGCAGTCGTTGGTTGGTACTGTTTGATAGGCTTGATAGACATGTAATTATTATCTGTTGTGACCCTTACTTAGGATAAATAAATAGGTATATAAATATTTTTTTCTACTCTGTAATGTGATCAGTGCATAATCTATCAGATTTTTGTGCGAACAAAGATATTAGTACCTCTTGTTCTTTAAAATATGCTATCCATCCTAATATTTGATAGTTAAATAAAAGTCTTGATATAATTAAATTTCACTGTATTGTCCCAAAATTAGATAAACTAATGATGTATGAAAAGAGAGAACGCGCGCCCTTGATGACCGAAAGCGAACTGAAGTCGTATTAATAAATGAATTAATACTAACAATATATAATTAGTATACTAGAAATGATAACGAGCATTTTACGCGATTGCGTAAATATGTCGAGTGTAACTCGTACTCGATTGCCTCGTTGGCTGAGTGGACGCAAGTGCGACTGCTGGGCAAGGGGTCTCGGGTTCGATTCCCGGGTCGGGCATAGTACTATGGGATTTTTAAAAAAATCCTCAGTACTAGCACGGAGTCTGGAATTGTGGGTATATGGCAATAGTTTCACCTCCTATTACATGGGACTCATAACATAAATAGTGAAAAGTGGGTGTTACATTTTACAATGGCATAATAAGCTCTGCCTACCCCTTCGGGGATAAAAGGCGTGATGTTATGTTATGTTTGTAACTCGTACACAGGGTGACTTGTAACTCGACGTATTCCACTCGGGAGGTGATAATACAATTAATTACCTACAAAAATAGCCCTGAGATGCCTAGTCCGAAAGTGGCTACATTCTGAGATATAATATAATAGTTATCTAAAACTTTACTACTTATATGCACGTAAAATATTTCATCCAACTGGCTCACATTTTCATTTATACAGATACTGTGCCCTTATGTAGGTAGGTCTAGATAAAACCTAACATCGGTATACATAGTCTACGATCCCATCTGTCTGACCCTAGTCTCACCTTTGAATAAGCACTGAAGCATGCAACGCAAGTAATATTAAACCACTGATCATATTACACATCATATAAGTCAATTATGTATTACATACGTAAAAAAGATAAATAGCTTACTACAAAGTCAAAAAACTTCATGGGTCCAAAAGTGCCATTTCAAGAGCCCAAAAAGTTAATGAAAAGCATCTTGGGTTTGATTCCCGGATTGGGCAGACTATTTTTGTCAGTACTCAACAAAAAAATATCTAGAAATCTGCTATCAGTGTCAAAATTCAGTAGATAGGTAGTCCCCACTTTCATATGGGATTCTTCTTCTTTCAGAAGGTATTGCCGGAATACTGAAACGTTACTCAATTTTAAGTCGTGCCTAAATATCGTGCCATCTCTGTCACTTCACAAAGAATTAGTGGTGACAGAACTATACTTAAGCGCGACTTAAAATTGAGTAACGTTTCAGTATTCAGGCAATACCTTCTGGTTTATGTTGTTCAAGCCTCAAGGTGTCTTTATTGTTATCATTATTCAAAGTTTTACTTATTTTATAAGCTTTATAAAACCGTTATAATACTTCAACTGTGGGAACCAATACGTCTTTACACACAAACAATTATAAATAGATTTGATTATAATACTTTAACTGTGGGAACAAATGGGTTAAGGTCATGATATAAAATACACTCTAAACAAAGTTGATGACAGTAGGTTGTATTATACAGAACTGGTGATGGACACTCGCCCGCTAATGGGTCCGATGGGCCAAGCGTATCTCAAATCAGACGAGTACGGTAAGACGTGGACATTGTGCCCTAACTGCATGGACATGTGCGATTGCCACCAGCACCGTGTCTGTATTGCCACGCGTTAGAGGAATTTGGTTGGGAGGAACAATGCGTGATAATCTCATCTGTTAGTTAAAAGATATAGGAGAATTTTGATCATAGTGAAAAAATTGCATATTTAACTTAAATAATTTGGGAACTTTTCTATCACAGTGTCTTTCTTATGGAATACTTCTAATATTATTATTCACATTGTTAGTGCTAAGTTGATTTATGGTAATCTGTCGCAATGTGCTTAGAAGTATATTTGTTAAATCTATTATTTTGTTCGTTTATGTTATATTTAATATAGTGCTGTTTGTTGTCCTTGATAATAAAAATATCTGCAAGTCCTGAAAATATAAAAAAAATATCTGCAAGTCCTGTGAGTGAATCTGTAGTAGTAATCAACCAAAAATCACAGCAACAATAAGGCCTTTCTAAGTAAAAGTCAAAATCATACCAGGAAGGCACTTTTGAACGTCAACAAAAAATGTTGATAGTGAAGCGATTTGCTCATTCTAAGGTGTAGATTCCCATGGAGAAGAACGAGCGAGAAATCCATAGGTTAGGTACTCTTTTTCAATCAGGTTTATAATACAATTATCTAGTTACATACATTTGTTGGTTCACTTTGCATCTCAGAGACGTGAACTAATCTTGGATGTCGTAAAGTAATTTAAACATGTTAGTTATTGACATTTATTTCCTTATTTATTACTTCATTATAAAATGGGAATCTATATATAGAGGTAGAATGCGCATTTTTCTTTGTTCTCTTTAATACGATTAAGGTACTGAGGACATGTAATGAAAAACCTTTTCAGACTTAATATTGGTATACCTACTTCTGATGCATAAAGTAAATCCAATAATTCGTGGTAACAGGGATGATGACAGGGTATGAAAATTAAAAATCAAATTAAATTTTTAATTTTCAAAACAATACTTAGATAAAACGAATCAAAGTTTAGGAGTGGGAGGTAGCTACGTCATTTCTGATTATAAAACGAACACAAAAATGACGTCACGCGCTATTTCAAATCAATATAAAATCGAAAGTATTTGTTTTCGTAAGTAAATAAAAAATACGTGTCTAATGTTTTTATAATCTACCAAACTAAAATTAAAATTAGTCATCTACCCTATTTCGTTGACCGGTACTATTTCTATAGGTATTATTATACATATCTACTTTTATTTGCAAAGTTTATCGCGCATTGTTCTGTCCAGCCTCGCCTTCTAATTCAGTGATATCACCATGTGTCTTGTACGACAGACATGTCGCTTCCGATCACAGTATTAACAGTTTACGTTGGCACCCTATGTTCATAACACATTCGATCATCGTTCCCTATTCTAGTTATTGTACCTAAACAACTAAAATTTGAACTATAGAAAGTTCTCCCGAAATTATGACGTCATCGTTCAATACCACTCACGTAGTTTGTGGTAGTATGACAACGTGACAAATGACGTCACAAACCAGTATTATGTCCCTTGCTTCACACGAGCTTTAAAGTAGTTATTGATGAAACAATAAATATGTATTAAATATGTGTAAATAATTATAATTGTGTCTATTTTATAAATTAATCGATAAAATGTTGATAAATATAAAAACACAGTCAATCACGCTATTCAATATTTGTGCACCAAATCCTGTAATATGAAATTTATTGAAGCACTTTTCACTGGTCGAAAATGAACCTAATTTGTTTTTAAACAAATCATATCTTGCAATAATGACTCATATTCAATGGTGTTGGTTTACGTTGAGTGTTTCTTAATATTTTTATAATTTGGCTACGATAAAAACTTGCTGCTGCGATGCCCTTCATTACAGCTCACTAGCGCCATCTCTTGAGCGTAACAGCAAATACCCTCGTATTTTTTTTCGTTATAATCACCGTTATCTTATTTCCTTTTCATATTTTTATTGAAACACACACGTCCTGTATCTCATGAAATTCCGCAGTTGCAAGTTAACTTAAAAAAAAATACAATATTTGATTTAAACCTTTCGTTATTTTATCACTGATACTGTGACCTTAACAATGTGCCTTTCATTGTATGATAACACTTAAAATCTGTTGGTACCATTTCTTAAAAGATATATAAAGAAATCTTAATTGATGTATAAGTACTTGCCTCAATTGTAATCATAAAGGTACCACCAGGTTTCACAAACTAAACTGTATTTTAAGACCTACTAAATAAGGTTCATTTCCAGGACGCATTGGAACACCCCATTACATGGCTCCGGAGGTCGTTTCCACCCAGCTTTACGGCAAACCAGTCGATGTATGGGCTGCTGGCATATTGCTACATGTTCTACTGGTCGGCTATTTACCCTTTACTGGGACAAGAGAACGACTGTTTGAATCTATTTGCCGTGGACGATTGAGGGTAAAATTTCCAAGTACATTACTATCAGCAAATAACTATAATCAGCAGTTTGTCAGTAATAAGTTCAATGTAAAGAGACAAGTAGTATTAGTAACGCCATCTATTATCAAATTCCATAAACAATATAATTTTTCTGCAGTCAAAAAATATATAGGATGTTTAATAAAGTACATTGCTTACAGTTGGACACACCTCTATGGGATGATATCAGCGACGCCGCTAAAGATCTAGTGCGGCGTATGTTAAACATCGATCATACTCAGAGAATCAACATACAAGAAGTCCTCAATCATCGCTGGATAAAGGTGCATCTGTTTTTTTTTAGTTTTATTTTGCAGTTTACTTGTTTCTATAAGAATATTTTAACTACAGGACATATGACTACGAGAGCAACTTTGTTTCTTTGTTGTGTTGAATTCAATAATTCTATTTGCTTAATTAAATCGTTGCTTGCTTCTTGCTCCTTCCATTAACTCTTCTCTGCTCTACCCAAAGGTCAGACTGGGAGAAAATGCCTGCGGCATTAAGTCCACCTTGTGTACACTTTGTGCATGAAGCGTTAATAAATAATAAATAAATAAATAAAATAATAAAAAAAACATATATATCAAAACCTTCTTCGTTATCTATAGCTCACTGGTTATACTTTCAAAATATAACTCGTAAACATTATCCAGGATCGGGAACACCAAAATCGAATCCACTTGGCTGGTACAGTGGAAGAACTGAAGAAGTTCAACAGCCGACGTCGACTTCGCGCGGCTACACTGGCGGCCGCCGCGGCTGATGATGAAGAGGATGAGGAACAACCTGCGCGCCGCGCTGTCATGCTTGAAGAGGCTAATGCTGCAGGTATATATGAAGTTTTAGGTCTTTAGTTCAGCCTCCAAAACAGATTTGTTGTCCTTTGTACTACATTCGATCCAATTTCTTGAATTCATTTTTCATTTTATTGTAATGCGGTAAGGTTGATAATTTTCTGTACTGTGACAAACACGCCAAGACTTCGAATAGTTTGAAAATACGGTCCTTTTTATGCTCTCAGCGCCATCTATCGTTTATTAAATTGTATTTCAAGCGCTAAAAGGTTCTACCTGAAAAAATGTTTACAAAAAACAACGTCGAGATGGCGCTGACTATGTCTTTACTGCAACAACAGCGCCATTCAATGATATTATTTGCCAACATTTTTTGCTTATGCAAAGTAGATGGCGCTATATGATATAAATCATAATGCTTTGTGAATTCTTAGTTTTTTAATAATAATTATAATTTGTTATTGTAAATTTGTTCCAGCTGTTAATCTGATTGTCGAGTCTTTGGATGATGTGGCAGTGCTGCAAGATGGTCCAACGCTGATGGATGTCGATCTATTTCTCAGTGTTCTCGATGATTTGCAACTTCGAGCTTTGCTGGAGGTAAACAGGAGTTTTCTACTAAATGCAAAAGTAATACTTGGCTGAGTTTCGCGTTGAAACTTTTTAAAGATCATAACATAACATAACATCAGCCTTTTATTCCCGAAGGGGTAGGCAGAGGTGTACATTACGGCACTTAATACCACTGTAAAATTTAATGTAACACCCACTTTTCACTATTTATGTTATGAATCCCATGTAATAGGGGGTATTCCTATTGTCATATACCGGGCACAATTCCAGATTCCGTGCTACTACTGAGATTTTTTGAAAAAGCCCACTAATACTATGCCCGACCCGGGAATCGAACCCTTGCCCGACAGTCGCAAATGCGACCACTCGGTCAACGAGACAGTCATTAACATTTACATTATACATACATAACATACATTTACAAATATTTATATATGTTCTCCTGTGTACTGTCTGTGTGTTGTGCATAAATAGATAAATAAATAAATAAATAAATAACAACTTTGAATGACAATGACCTCATTGGGTCCCGTCAGTGTTGGTTCTGCTCGGATTTAATAAAAATATTAAAATGAGGTTTTAAAGACTAATTCTCGTTCCTCCAGATCTACGACCGTATAGCGAGCACGGTAGTAGTAACGAGCGGGCGCGCCCCCGCGGCAGAAGGTCGCGCGCGCTGTCGGCAGGCGCTGGAGGCGGCCACCCGCCTGCGGCACGCCGGGCCCGCGCCCGCCGCCGCCACGCCCGCCACCGCCGCCGCCATACACGAGATACGACGCCTGCTGGCCCTGCCACACATTAAGGTATCTAACTATGGCCTTTTTGGGGGGAGGGGAGAGAGATCTAATGACTTTTCCTCGCTTATTCGCCTCGGTAGAGAAGCTCATCTAATGACTTTTTCTTGGTCATTCGCCACAGTGATAACTCTTCCCCCTCCCCCCTTGGGTGAGGCGAAAGAGACTGTCCGATTCTTACTGAATAAAAACCTCCTCGTGTCTATTCCTACTTCGAGCACAGCCTCGTTAACCCGGAAGGTTGTCCCCAGCCCCAGCAGATAACTATGATCTACAGCACTATATTGAATACAAAAATAACAAAAATAATCGGGGTGTCGTTTTCTTTTAAGAAAAACCCTGTAATTAAATAAAGATATTAAAAAAAACACTATATTGACGGTTGTTGTTACTAGATGGCGCTAGATTGATTGAACTTAAATGCCCAATGGTTTGATAACAGTAAATTCTCCATACAATACTTTTTCCTATCTAATGCCCCCAACGGCAACTTACCTATATGCAATGTGATGGTCTTCATTACATTATGATATTGAAAAGTAAAACAATTTTTCTTCATAACCGTTTTTACTTAATGAATAATAAACTATGACACAGATAAACAATACAAAATTAAATACTCATATATCCCCAACGGTCACCGGTGACCTCTCTCCACTAACATTATAAACCTTATTTCCAATGTTTAGAGACTACTTTTGTATGAACAAAATAGGGGATGATTTTCAATGGGTTAAAACAAGAAAATTATGAGTTTAAATGAACAGTACAAAATTAAATCTAAATAAGAATTGTGAACATTAAAACATTTCCAATATACGTTTACCACCATTTAACGATTTTGAATTATTCTAGCTACATTTTCAATTGTATTAGCGAGGCGAGTCAAAGCGATTACAATATTGGCAAGCGATTGTGCCTTATTCAAATCTGCTTCAACCCTACGTTCCTCGATACTCAATATCTGGTCCATAAATACAGCCATAGAGCTTCGAATTCGGCGGCGTCGTCGAGGTCTAGTACTCTCAGAAGGCGTGGGTCGATCAGGTCCTGAAAAAAAAAAGAATGTTAATACTTGAACCTGATCCGTTGTTCGAGTAATCGCGACTGCCAATCAAGGCATCGAATACAATATTATAGGGGTTAGGCTTATACAGTTTCTCGCTCGAAAATGGCTCAGTGGAAGGGTGGAACTTGGAATTCTGCCCGGTATCTTTCGGTTCATTACCTACTACTGGGACTCATGATGTTCTTTCTTTTTTTTTAAACTTTGCTTAGGATTTTGTCCTGTATCGTGGGTATGTTTACAAACATACAAGTTCTCATACACATGACACTCAGACCCGGAACAATAATCTGTGGATCCGACAAACAGTTGTTCCGTGCAGGAATCGAACTCGCTACACGTTGCGCGGCAGCCAGTTGCCCAGCCACCGCACCAACCGTGCAGTCAAATGTAACCAGTGTATGCAAGTAATTCATAAAATAAGTGTTAGACATGTGTATTGTGCATCTGCCTATCCCTTCGCGGGATAGGAATACTGCTAAGGAGTGTAATTCTTTGCCAGAGTAAATCCTGGGTGTCTTCAAGGCCCGAGTGAATAGATTGCTTATGGGCAAACATGCTCCATCGTAGGCCTCATTATCGCCTACCACCAGTGAGCGAGATAAGGACCAATAGCCAGCCGATCAAGCATAAAAAGAATTATAAATATAAGGTGTGACGTTGTGTTAAAATGTGTATGTGTAAAATACTTGAACAAAATTTTTTTTACTTCTGAGTTGTAACATAAATAACTCATATTTTTTGTGATTAGGCCCAAAACACTTGAATGTTACACATTTTTGTTTTGTGTAATGCTTACTTGTGTCAAGTCAAGTGTGTGTGACTATTATTGTTAGTATTTAACTTTAATTTTTTTGTATTATCCTACATCTATATGGTGTTCCTTTTATTATTTTGTCTTATTTTTGTTTGAGTGTATCGTGTTTATGCTGGTGTTGTACCATATACATTATTTTTCTTTCTTTACTTTGATGGAAGATATTATTTAAAGTTTTTGAACATTAACAAGTATGAATAACTATGTTCTGACGGCAGAATAGGAAATGTTTGTTATTACCGCTACTCTTCCTACGGGTATCGTTAAGTCCAACAAGGGACTGCACGTTAAACAGAGACCGGACAACAGCACTCTCTGATATACTTTTACCTTTTGAACTGCTTATGAAAAACCTCTTTTTATTTAGAGGACGTCCATAGACCAGGGCCTCTAGCCAAACGCCACTTTAGCTCTTGTCTACAGAGAGAGTAGAAATCAAAATGTATGGGAATGACACTGACAAGTGTCAAAATTTACGTCAATTCCATATAATTTGGTTTTCTATTCTACATGTAGACAAGCGTTAAGTGGCATTTGGCTACAGCTGCAGGCTATGTTCGTTATTTTTATTAAAAACCAACTGTTCATCACGACTTCATCTGCGTGGATTAATGATTTAAGCATTTTTTTATAAACGTTATAGGTACTTATAGGCTATGTGGTTATGTAAAGATGTATAGGTCTCTAATGGCGAAAGAATTTTTGAAATTGGTCTATTAGTTTTTGTGTGAAAACATTACAAACATAGATAATGTAAACACACAAATATTTAGCATTGATTTGAATAAAGACTTACTTGTAAGTGGTTCTGGTATTTCACGAGTAGGAGTTTCGTTTGGTATTTCCATGTCTGGTTCTGTTTCGACTGCCTTCATGACAAACTGGCTCGCTACTGTCGGTAAGATCAGTCTGTAACAATAAAACATATTTTTGGGTTAGCCAAATACATAAGTATCCAGTTAGCCAAATACTTTTCAAAAGTGCAATTTGAATAGTCTTATTGATTTAATGTAAATAAAAGTTTTGCATGTTGTATTTTTTTTTTAATAACGTTGCCCCACACTAGGGTTTACTTCTGGGTCGTGGGTGCGTTTACAAACATACAAGTTTACATACACATGACACCCAGACCGGAAACAACAATTTGTGGACCACACAAAGTGTTGCTCCGTGCGGATATCGAACCCGCTACACGTTGAGCGGCAGCCGGCTGCCCCGCCACCGCACCAAAAGTGCAGTCAATTAGCAAAGTATTTGTAAGCGTTGTATATTGGTATGTATGATTATATTAAAATCTATAATAAATAAATATAAATAATAAATAAAACTTTATTCATAATAACAAAAACGCAAAATTCTAAAATATATCTAAATTACGTACAATTGATCTCAAATAGTTAGATGCCTGCACTAGGACAATCCTGTATAGGACAATCCTATATAAATATATTACAACATGTGACTGTTTTTAGCGAATCCTAGACTGATCATATCTTATTTAAACTCAAGGTTAATTGGTAGAGAATGCGATATGGCATTAAATCCACCTTTTAAACCATTGTTTATGATTTGAACCATATGCATTAAAGCTTAAGATATTTATTAACTAAAAAAATGTGTGATATGGGTAAAGTAAAAGGTATTGTAATGGGTCATTCAGTCAATAATAAATGGTAATACTTAAAGATGACAAAGGTATAAGGTTGAAAATCCTAGTCTATGACTAAAAATTACATTTAGGTATGTACATACCTGTTCACTGCACAAACGCCGCGACTCACCAATTTTTAACACTACACTGAATTAACTCAACACTAGGTTTTATAAATAACGTCAAATATGTCCGAGACGACCTCACGTTTCCACAGTCCTCTTATAAGTGTCCCTTCAATGTTTACAACTTTAACGGGGTCCTAATGTTGTATGGAAGTTTTTATGCTCTTAATTGTTCCTAAGAACCCTTTGCTGGTCACGTCATTATGATAAACAGATGTGGCGTTGTAAAAGTGGGTCACGTAAAAAATACGTCCTCTTCTATTCGTGTATGATAAGTACTATCTATTTACATATCAATCGTAGTTAGGGTTTAGTACGATATTGTTTATGTTTAACGAGACCGCGTCCGGCACTTTTTTTTATATTTGATGGGGCGACGTTTGACGACTATCTCGCCTGGTGGTAAGCGATGATGCGGTCTACGATGTAGCACGTCGTCCCATAAGCGACCTATTCACTCGGGCCTTGAAGACTCTTAGGTTGTACCCTTCAGGAAATACAGACTCTGGCAAAGACTTCCACTCTTTAGCAGTACGCACAAGGAAGCTTGAAGCGAAGCGCTTCGTGCGTGTGGGCGGAACATCTACCGTGAATCGGTGACGCTTCGCCGATTGTCTTGTGGTACGATGATGGAAAGGACTAGGGGGAATCAAGTTGTGCAACCATTGGCCGGCTCCAATAAACCAACGTATTGCGTTTGAATTTTTTTGGAGAGTAAAAGTAAGCGAAGTCTACTCTCACTCACTAAAGCTCTAATGCCCAAATACTGAAAGCCAATTTTAAGTTGTACTTAAATATCTGCTATCTCTGTCATTCTTCAAAGAATTTGTAGAGACAGAACAGACAGAAGAGAGAAATTAAAAATCGAATTTGTCCATCAGTTGGGTAATGAAAAAATATTAGACACATATTTTTTTATTTGTTATATAATAAAATGATCTTAGATATAACGAATCAAAGTTTAGGAGTGGGGTCTAAAACGTCATTTCTACGTATAAAATGTACATAGAAGTGACGTCACGCGACATTTTAATACAATATATCGTCGAAAGTATTCGTTTCTGTAAAAAAATTAAAAATACGTGTGTAATTTTTTATTAAAATAAAAATTAGTCATCTACCCTATTATACGTAAGCGCGACTTTAAATTAAGTAGCCTTTCAATATTCCGGCGTAAGTATCTAACAATTTGTCCAATGAAATCTTTACATAAATGCGACGTACACATGCTGGTAAAACGGACCTACGAAACTTCAATAAGGTAGATTATTTAAAAACATTAGACACGTATTTTTTATTACCTTACGGAAACGAATAGTTTCGAAGATATATTGATTTGAAATATAGCATGACGTCACTTTTGAGTACGATTTATACTCTAAAATTATATAACTACCTCCCATTTCTAAACTTTGATTCGTTTTATCTAAGTACTGTTTTCTTATACGACAAAATATAAAAAATACGTATCTAATATTTTTTCATTACCTAACTGACGGACTAATTACATTTTTAATTTTCATGCCCTTTCATCATCCCCGTCGAAGACCTAACAAAGAATGTTTCCCACAAAAATATATCAAACATCACAAGGAGACAGGACTTACATACAATCCACTTTCAAATAAACGTTGAATACCTTCACACTAGTCCCACTTTTACCTTCACGTCACGTCCACAAGAAAATCGCTGTACAGAGCCCAACCAATTTTATCGACCTTACGTATATTTACAAAATATTTCATTCCCCTACAAAACTTTTATTAGAACGTACGTTGTATGAATGTACAATGCTCTCCTATTCAAACAAAATTCAATATCCATATCCTTCGTTGTTTATAACTCGATGCCATAAACAACAGGTCTCGGAGGTAACTCTTAGACTATGATAGAGTTGTCTTTATTTTATCGATAAACTTGATGCAATGGTTTGGTTAGCTTGAAAAGTTTTATTGAAAGATTTTCAATTGTATGCTGTTTTTGAAAGTTGGTATTGTTTGTTGGGGGAAATAAATTGTGTGCAGATTGTTTGTAGTGAGTTAGTTAAGTTTTACGTTATAAACAATAGCGGAAAGTGAAGTTTTACTAAACATGTATTAAATCTCTTTCTTTTTTTTATTCTAATATGATATCAGGTAAGAGTAAGGACTGCCTCGTTGGCCTAGTGGTCGTAAGTGAGACTGCTGAGCAAGAGGTCTCTGTTTCGATTCCCGGGTCTGGTAAAGTATTGCTGGGTGTTTAAATAAAATCTCAGTAATTGCAGTCTGAATTGTGACCTATTGTGTCATATATCTGAAATAGGCTCACCGCCTATTACATGGGACTCAAAACATTAATAGTTAAGGTGTTACATTGTACAGTGGTATTAAGTGCTATAACGTGTACCTCTGCCTACCCCTTCGAAGATAAATAGTAATAGAATTTTATGTTCTAGAAATAAGTTCTAGATCTAGAATAACCTTCCTTAGGAATAAGGACTATCAGATGCAAAACAAATGTTGCGTAAAAACAAAATACGTTACAGTAAATTGTAAGAGCTTCATAAAACTCCACAAGTTACAAGCGTAAATATTTTGTGACCGACCCCTAAAAAAGGTAACTTACACCTAAATATTTGTAAACCACAAATGTACGGGCGCACCGAGGGAAACGAATTCACATAAGTGATATCAAATCATATCACGAACCTTAGTTCGTACTAGGGTATCTTAATACTTACCCTAGTACAATATTTAGTTGGGCTTGTAAAAATCTCATAGTTCGGACTACGGTACGTCAAGCTACTCTATTCTGTCATACTTATTGAATAGATTTTCAACTTTATACTTAAGTAATAAAGTCGAAGTCAATGGGCTTAGTGCGCTCTCGTCATCTGCATGTTTTAGTGGGGTCACCAACATTTCTCACAATGATGGACAAGTTTCATGTCTGTCTTCCTTTTATTTATTCACACTGAGACTGCGAATAGGAAATGCATTGTACAATATGGCGGATAGTGTCGTACGTTTTTGTCGTTGTCGTATTTATGGTGTTACCCTTTTCTTTGCATACCTGGCCGTATTTTCGATAATGTTATGGGACGGTCGAGATTCGATAGTAATTTTGGTCGCCACAAGAAAGGGTTTTCTTTTGGTTTTGTGTAATAAAACGAATTCCGTGATTACTATCATCACATTACATAGCTATTAAGGGGCTTTATCCTAAAACGAGCTGACTAGTGAATAGTATGTAAAGGATCTGGCTTTTGGCTAATATTACCCTAACAAACCCTCTATTTGTAAATCACATCTCGTTTGGTATGGTATGGTACTAAAGTGTGCCAGGACTGTTCGATGTTCTTCAAAATTCATGGAAGCACGACTGCCACTGAAATGTGTATAAAAGTCTAGTTCGTAACTCTGTATCTAAATATTGCCTTCTCTTTCTTTGTTGTGATAAAATAACATCATAAAATTTTACACCGCTATCGACTTTGTGCTCGGTACCTGTGAGATATCGGATAATTTACACAGAATCTATTGAGCGCTTTCTAAGTACTATAGGAGATGAGTTTCCTTCGAGTTTCCGTTTCATTATAACAAGCGTTTGTTTATTGTACACCATGAAGGGTAATTTTGTACAGAAATAGTCCTTTTTAGTGCTCTTGCTTCTGACTAACGACAGTATCAAATGAATGGCTAATAAAAATTAATCTCCTGCTCAAACTGAAGCAGACAGATAATAAACTATTGTTTTACTGCACTCGGAGACTATCAGGAAATTGGCTCGTGAAAAATAAAAGTATAACTAACTGGATTTCCGAGGTTCGAGCATTTTAATAAAGCGATTGTATTCAACTGGGGCATGATCGGGCACTCGTGGAGCATGTTTTTCTTTATTTTGACGAGTCCATTCAATTGACGCCTCTATGCACTTACGGTCCCTTTGATTCATTCCCTCGGAATGGCACCCGTACCTTTACAGTTCAGTTTAGATTTTATTGTGCAAAAGAGCTGAGTTCCCTGCGGGCGGTCTGTAACACGAAAAGCGAGAGGTATTGGATACGTTTGGATTTATAGATGTAAATAGCGAAGTGTTTTGCAGAATCGCTAGCAGAGAACGATAAATTTAGTTTCTACAGTAAAATCGCTTCTAAAATCGTGCTATTTAGTAAATTAAAATTCTTCAGTGTGTAGCTGCGCCCACAGCTTCACCTAGGACTTAGGACGTCAGGACTAACCTTCTTAAATATGATCCTATTTCGCATGGCATTCGGATAACTAGATATGATTTGTTCCAAAACCTACAAAGGTTTGTTGAAACAGTACAAAGGCATAATGAATATCACTGCATTGAATAATTACTGTACTATTGTTATAATTTGGTATTATTAACTCGTCGAGTACCGGTTTTGTAGACACAATTATAGAACAATAGCTTGCGGTCACCGGTGACCGCTTGGTGTATTACAGTTTAAAGGTACATACATTAGTTTTATGAATTAAGTTACTTGTTTGGAGTTAAATATATAAGGAAATTTTGCATTGGAATCAGCTGTAAGATGTCATATTGTTAAGAATTATAAATAAATAAATGGTTTCTTTGAGGCTCACGCTGATTTTGGATTGTTCAAAAAAATTAAAGCAAGTCTACGACATAACTTGAATTTACGAGTATTCCGGTCACTAAAGCCACAGCTGACGTCATAGTTTCATTATTAATTTGCATGATATTCAAAAATCTGTGTCAACATGATTAACTAGAAACTGTGACCTATATGTGGCAAACACCCAAAAGTTAGTTTTGATTAAAAAGTTACCATTGAATTTCTTGCCAGCCAACTGAATTTACTTCATTCTATTTTCTCACTAGTCTCACTACCCATATTTATTAATATAAAACACTTAATAGTCTTCTCACACAGTATTATTTTAAGCATTTACCATTTTCCATTAATGTTTAATACTCTGATCAGCTCTGTTTGCTAAAAGCAGATGTGTTGTTGCCGAAACATGGTTATTTATTAATGAACCTCGGAAAATGTAATTGGCTTTCAATCCGATCGTACACGAGTAGGTACTTACTTACAGTTGAAAGTATTTTTTTCTGTGCATTAGTCTCTGTAATCTTTGTTCCGATTTGCTTCGTTAGTCGTGCGGTCGAAAAAGAAGAATATGTTTTTATAATAACTATCGTGACATATACTAAATTAACTAAAAACGCGGGTTACTCACGTGAATATACTGAGAAAAGCTCTACTAGTTTCGAACAGGTTCTTCCTCATGAGCAGGGTACGCGGTCGGGGCGACGTCGCGCAG